TTATCTAGATTGAAGTGAAGTTTCTCCTAATCTTTGATAAAGTGGTGGAATATGTAGGATTATTTTAGTGAAGTGGGATTGCCACCACCACACCTCTATTGTTTCTAGGTTAGGCTAAGGATGAGGATTAATTAAAGTGGGTAACCACAGAAATAATTTCATTTCGATAGCTCTTCAATTGGCCATGCAAGAAGATGAAGCTTTCGGTATAAGTTCCCCACTTAATGAAAGTTCATCTACTTGGCTAAAGTAAGCCAGACCATAATCTGCTTTAATGCATAACTATTCTATACGGCTATATTAATTAAGGTTAATTCCCCGCAAGCCGTTTCGGATATGAGTGACATGTGTGCAATTAACTAACCCAGATAGTACCAATGGAACCCTCTTCATCACCAATCTAATCTTGTCCGGTTGGAAATGATTGTCAGTAACCAAAAGTTGTGTACTTAATTAAATGGCAAAGCAAGGCATGACGGATAAAAGGCACTCGAGGAGGTATTGGGCCATTTGTCAAGATGCTTTTCGTTTTATGCCAACATTAGAATAATGCTTTGTTGAAAGAAAAAGAAGAAGACATGGTGTTGGAATCAATAGCCACAGCAACATAAGATGCAAAGATAAAGAAAGATCGTATTGTAAAAAAGTTAGTGATAAAGAAAGCGGAAGGAAGAAACAACAAAAATTTAAAGATAAATAGAAAGAAAGGAAAGAAAAGAAAAAAAGCAGATGTTCCCTTCTCGGATGGAACTGAGAAAGGGGTTGTCCATTACACGATTCCGACGCTCGTACCTCGATATTTTACGTAACAATATCCAATAAATTTTGCAGCTTTTCACGTGCCAATACTAAGAAAAATAATCTAGAGATTAACGAGTAGGGATAACAGAATATGATAAGATTATTGTGTTGTATAAACACAAGATTTGGCATCCAATGCTCGGAGATTATTCTGCACGAGCATGGTTCTCTTAGTCCATGATTGATCCACATTTGCGTATGCCCTAGATGCCTACAAGTGATCGTGACCTAATACTGTGACACCACTTGCAATATTATAAAGAGAAATCATCATGCAAATGACATAAAGTTGGTTGTTGCAATCGATCAGAAAACTTTATTGGGATAATCATTCCAAGATTTTATTGCCGGTCGTCTTTGTGTGAATTCAGATGATGTCTGAGAGTTCTAATTAATCGTAATGGAATAATTTTGTGTTTATGGCATGTAATATAGTCACTTCATGTGGACTTGGTGATAAATTACTTGGGTTTCTAAGGATAAGTAGAATTGAAGGTATAAATATCTCATACTATGAAAATCATTTAATGGCTTCATGTAAGGTAGTTTCTTTGGCATAAAGATCTTGAACATGGAAACTCCGCATAGACATTTAAGAGGTTATTACTAAGAAACTCATGAACTAAACCGGTAATTGCACGAAAACAAGTGGTGTCCTTGTTCAAGATATAATGCATGATTCGAGCCATTCTTCAATAACTCAAGCTCTTAGAAGAAGTAGTTGGCCACTCGGGTTACAGAGTTCAAAGCGTGATTTCTCACATGCCCGGTTAATGCTTCTCCCTTCTTCATACATCATGGGTTTAACCGATTCTTATATCTACACAGATAAGGTTAATCAGCATGCCCTAGGTTCGAATTGCTCTCCAATGGCTTAAGCTCTTAGAATAATAGTTGCAAACTCAACTGTCTGCTGTTGTTACCATTTGAGCAAGCAAATCAACCTGGTCACCCCAAGCTTTTTGTGAGCAACTTGGCCAAGTTTATGCTCGCTTTTGGCAACCTGCAGCGCATGTTGTATTAGCAGATAGACTTCCAGCTTTAAGAAGCCAAAGAATCTGACCTGACCCCATATGATCAATTCATACAATATCGTTGTACTCGGATGAGTACAAATCACCATGTGCTTTGCCCTGAAAAAGCAACCTCCTCTTTTGTAAGAGAGCTCTCACCAGATGAATGGCCCAATTCCATCACACACTGACTTCCAGGAGATCAGAGGGCCATCGCCTGCACCAACCTACCATGCAAAAGCGATATCTTTCATTTTTTTCTCTCTGATCCCTTCAGTTTTTCCCACCTTCTTTCTTTACTTTCAAATCAATGTGCTTGAATTTCGACTGAAGAAAGTGAAAAGAGGGCAACCTGACCTTTGGCAGCAAAGAAAAGCCACTTGTACTAATCAGATGACTTTGTGTTTAGCACACTACACTCCAAAGTGTAGATTTGCGGAAAAAGCACTTAATGGTTTAATTATGTGTAGCAAAACTACGTCCAGTGTGCCCAACTATATCAATTTTTCATGTGGCTTTATGGGAGGACAGCACTAAAGCTGGATGTTGTAACAAGATTGTCCAACAAGAATAAATTATTTTGGTGAAAGATGGTTGCGAAAGAGCCGGGGGGACAGGTCCCATGATCACTTGGTGCCTATTGCAATTTTTTTTTGCAAGGGTACATCACTATGATGATCTAAAAAATTCTATTTAATTGTTAACCCTCGCCCCGGGTTAGGGACACACATAGTTATCTTATCCCGTCCTTAACCTAAGTATCTGCACACATCACGCGTGGGTAACATAAACCCCATGAATGAGCGATGCAAGATGTTTTAGTTCTATTTGATGTACAAACTTAAACAAATCCGGGGCACAAATCTTGAGTTGATTGGCTCATTTAACAAAACCGAGTCGGAGCATATCTTTATCTCCAAATTGGAAGTGGCTCCCACGGTCTTTTGAAAAAAAGAATTTATCGTCGAGAATCATTCTGCGCATCACATGTCGATGTAACGAGGGGTCAAAGTTGACATGAAACAATGTTCTTACTTCACATGTTAAGAGCATATCTCTATCTTCTCTAGATTTTGAATGGAGGTCCAAACCTATGACAAATCCTTTTAGTGGAATTTCATAGTGGTGTTGACGTTTGCCTAAGGAATTGTTATTTCTTGACTTTTAATGGCTAGGACAACCTAGATCCAAAATGCGGCCTTGGGTCTATGTTTTCTCCAAGGATAGAGAAAGGATGGATTATGCCTGTCTTCATATATTTTGTGATTGGACGATGGTTATAGTTCATAAACATTATTAAAGGTTAAACATGAATTCTTAGAGATTTTGGGGAAAAAATAACCATTTATATGTTTAAAATTTGAATGAAATTCCGCAAGCGAGTTGAATATATATTAAATCAAGGAATCAATCTAGATTCTAATCATGGTTGGTTTTTTCTTTTTTCTTTTTGGTTTTGCGATCAGTAGATGTTCTGGGCCAAATTTCGCGCACCAAACTAAATCTACACATGATTAGATATTGACCATTCACATCGGTATAATGAAACTTGAAATATCTCACTGTTTCTTTGAGGCATGACATCCTAATCATTTTTATCACCAAAAGGTCGCAATTACTTTAATAATTCAGCCAAACCCTTGACATCTTATTGCAACAACTATTGAGCCCTGATCTTAAAACTATGCCTAATAATTGTAAGTCGGGTGCAAATTATTACGCATTTGCGTGATATTGCGGCGGAACCTGGCAGTTTAATCGGGTGGACAAATGCAAACTTGAATTTTAATTACGTACTGCTCACCCGACATGTGGACACCCCGCTCTCAAAAATGAAAATCAACAGATTAATCGGGGACTATATAATATGGCCAAGAAATCTAAAGTCCGAACCTCCTCCTTTGATACCATATTGATATCGAACTGACTGCCCGTGAATATCTGGACGTAGTATGGATATGGTAGGCCATGCTGATTCACGATCCATTGTAGGAGCAAAGCTCACAAGACAGTGGGGTTATGATAACAAGAATAGGACCATTGGATTACCAAACAAGGCATCGTTACCATTATTAATGGGTGCAAAGTAATGACACGCAGATGTGGAAGATGAGTCAGGAGTCAGTAGATAGTGTTGGTGGATTTGAAATGGAAGAGAGAAAGAGACAGTCAGACCACTTTGCTTCCCAGTGAGTTGAAAATTGATTGCCCCGATCCAATTTTTTTATTTTATTCTTTGTTTGATTACTTGAAGACACAGGTTGCTGGTCCCCCCCACCAACTCACTTGGTTTCCTTTTTCTTTTTCTCTGCATATATTGCCTCTCTGTGTCATTTTCTTCTTCCTACACCCTGGCTTAATGACCTGTATCCATCACAGAAAAGCTCTTCCCACTACACAACTTTGCCTGCAATAAGACCCTGTGGCAATTTTTCTTATTTATTATCTTTGGCTATGCCGATTCCTCAGGTCTCTAAAATGACTGCTCTTCCATGAGCCACTAGAGTTTTCGATAGCTGAGAAGTGAAGACATGAGAAGTGTTAGGATTACCTAGCTCCTAGCCCCATTACCATGAAACAGCTTTCTTGGTCCATTTCTAACTGAAGTTTCACCCTGCAAGTTTTTCTTTAGCTTCCACACTGATTTTGGGCTAATCCACCATTATCTCTGTCCATCGGAAGATTAGTAGGTAGACTTTTACTCAGAAAAAGTGAATTACGTGCTTAGGATGAATGCATTTGTTTTAACTGTACACAGATTTCTACTGACCAGAAAAGGAGCACAGATTCTTTTAGTCTCTGCCAATCAGGTAGAATGATTATTGCTGAGTAAGCAGTCATAAGCTACATGATAGTAAGGGCCAGCTTACACATGCTCGAGTTGGAACAGCTATTCATTGAAGCCCCAAAAAGAACTGGAAAGGTCATTCAGAACTGGAGATATAATAACCCAAAAAGTGAGTAAAAGCAAACATTAATTCGGTGGCGACCAAGGCACACTGAGTGCCAGAAATTCTCCATCTTTATGATCTGATTCTAATATGTATGAGATACTGAATGTGGTCTGAAAGGCATTCTTCAAAACTTTGTCATCGTAAATTTTCCAAGAACTACTAAGATATCAGAGTAGGATCGAGTGCTTACACAACCAGTGAATCAGTTTGTGCGACAACAAAGCTTCTATAATTAAAATAAACTAAGCATTACATTAATACAACAAATCGACAATATACAGTTACAGCAATCGCATTAAAATTCTAAACCTAAGCTATGACTATGGTACATGACCCATTATAAACAAATAAATTTAGCCACCAATTCCATGGACCCATATCTGTAATACCCTAGGCTGTTTCACTCTCCATGGATCATTAACGAGTGGAAGGGCACCCTCTTGATTTCCACAAAAGTTGAATAATCCTTGCTCAGCGGCTGTTTCCAGGGCTCTCCATCCATCTGCATGTACGCGTTGTTCCACTCCCCACCCCTGATTTCCAGCCGAATAGCAGCAGCCTGTCGGGTAAAATTAAAACAACCAACGATTCAGCTTGCATGTTAGGGAAAACCAGGTTCCTAGAGACCCCACCTCAGTTGAATTTCCCACAGTTCAGGTGGCTAAGTTTTTGCGTAGCGAAAAACCAAAACTTCAGTAGTAGGTTCAGGCTTCTGAGGACAACCCACCCCAGCTGAATTTCCCACAGTTCAGGTGGCTCAGTTTTTGTGTAGCGAAAAACCAAAACTTCAGTAGTAGGTTCAGGCTTCTGAGGACAACCCACCCCAGCTGAATTTCCCACAGTTCAGGTGGCTAAGTTTTGGTGTAGCGAAAAACCAAAAATTCAATAGTAGGTTCAGGCTTCTGAGGACAACCCATTACTGACTTATGGAGAAATACAGCCAAGACACAAAAACAGATCCAGAAAACTAAAACAAAATGCGTAGCTCTTGGCGCAGTTGCTGGTTGGCAACAACTGAGCATCTGGTGTGGGTCCACAGCCAGCGCCATCCTGATTGCCACTGGAAAACTGTGAGATCCCACAGATATTTTGTTTTTCTTTGGTTTCTTTTGGCATTTCTATCCTAGAATCTCATACTAAAGCATAAAACATCTCAAAGATAGTTTACCTGGGCAAGGTGCTTTGCGGATATCAATTCAACCATGACAAATGAGGCATGCCATCCTTGCTTTAAGCCAAATATTTCAAGCAGACCATCGTCCACATGGGCCTCAACAAATCCTCTCTGCATGGCATACGATGCCCCACCATTAGGTCAACTAAAAGAGCACTATTACCACGTAAGTGGCAGGTAGTTTCTGAAGTGCTATATCACATAGTCGAAGAAGAATGCAACCTTGAACATAAAAAACATATTGCTTCATTCATGTGCACAGAATGTCCTAAGTAGCTGGTTCTAAGATGGTGTCAGTACTGGCAAAACTGGTTCATAGGACATTAAATTTGATTTTCATGCTTTCGAGAAAATTTCCACTTTACGAAAACAATCTTGTTAGAAACATGCAATAAGCAAAAATCTCATCACAATTACTTTCTGCACGGAGGTTCATGAGAAGCACCTTTTCTAGATATTCTGGCTTCAAATTACCCCACGGATTCCTTCCACTGGCATAGTTATGAAGATTCAGAGCTACTATGGCCCTGACACTGGAAACCAGGGAAAAAGTGAACAGACAACACTTGAAAAATGACATAATCAGGAGCAGAAAACAAATATTGCTCATTGATAAACATACTCATAACAAAAGATTAGGCTTTTAACAGCATTAGAAAGATTTAAGTGATGACAAACTTTGTAACGTTCTACACCATGAGCATCTATACATATATGGGAGCCATTGAAAAGAATCCCAAAGAAAGAGTAAAACAAAAATACATACATGTGTGTGTGCGTGTGTAACAATGCACATTTAGAACTCTAACCTGGAAGGAACAGGAACCTTCTCCCATTCTGTGCAGTTGACCTTCTTAACGTGCATCCTAAGAATGTTCCTTAGTCCCCTAAAAATCAACACATTTGCATGCATAGCAAGATGAGATGAATGATAAAAAAGAAACAAATAGACAGTTTTTCAATCTGCAAATATCATCTTATCAACAGTGAGACTACAAAAGAGAAAAAAAGAAGCTGCATTGTCCTAATAAATGTTAGGGGGGCAGCTACTACAACGCTTGCCATAGTATTCAAGGTACTATAATAAAGAATTGCAATAGAAAGATGGGAACAATAACAAGGTGTGGGATGGGTATTCCTCCTGACACGTGCAGAAATGACCCTAAGGGAATGATTCGATACTAGTTCAATGCAGATAGTAGTCCAATGCAGGGAATGGTTGTCATACTAAAGAGAATGATTCGATACTACAATCTCCCCCATTACCCAACCAAAAATTTCCTCCATGCTACCTAATGTTGTCCCTTTTTAAAGTTATTTATCCTCCTTAGCATTGTTGAATGAAGTATCTCATGGTTTAAACATAGTTGGGCTCAGTTCCAAAAATAAACAAATAGGAAAGCCCCGATATGGACGGCGGAGTTGCATATGGATAATGAATAGTTAAAAAACTTAAATATCGGTTCTCCTAATTATGATAGTCAAACCTCTAACTTCAGGTTCCATCTTTTTCATGTATACTTCTTTTCTATGAACAAGGTTTAAAACTGCAAACAATTTCATCCAATAAATTGCAAGATATTTCTCAGACTTAGTGCTCAAATATAGAAATTAACCAATCAAAGGAACAGCTTAGCCAATGGTAAAATACGTCTCAGTCATACTAATTTTCATCAAACCACACTATTTTGCTAACAGAAATTGTTCCTTAGAAATTTTTATATCGCCCAGTAAAAAAACCAGATGACATTGCCAAGAAAATGGGGATTTTGCGAGCCAACCCATCCAAAGGACAGTAACAATAGTGAGGGAAGCATGGAAAAAGTACAAAGACCCCATACCAAAGACCTGAGGGTTTTAACTTCACTTGCAGTGCTGGACTAGTTAAGGGTATAAGTCAAGTAGTGCAAGCGATGTTTTCAGAGCAATAACCATAACTACCACATTATTATTTCTGTTTGTACACATCCCAAGTTACAAGGTGACAACAAATGAAAAATTCGGCGCAAAATTTCAGTAGCTAAACACAACGCCATCTTTAACCATATATTTAAGAGATGAAAACTGGAACGAGGTAGGAGAAATACCAAAAAGTTCATCAAGTATCTAACCTAAGACTCGGATCACTCGTGCAAGGTGTAAAAAACCACCCTTGACTGCATGTATAACCGGAGTAGATCAGCTGCAGCAACAAGCAGATCAGTTCAAAGCTTCAATTAGCATATCTCAGCAAAGTATAAGGGGCAAAAAAGAAGGTGGCAATTCGAATGACGGCAAGGGAGATAGCAAGTCAAAACACATCAAGATCCATTTAGCTCCAAAATTGATGAGAATGCCACCTAAATTCTAATTATGCACGAGACAACACATGAAGCCAAGAGAATTTAATAAGAACCTTATTTGCAATTGGACCATTAGCAAGATAAGGCTTTTCATTGCGTAAATGGTGAAAGCCATAAGCGACCTGTGCATCCATTCCTGCAAAACCAGAGGGAGGAAGAGAGTAAATAACAGTTGATAACTATAGTAACTAACAGCCTAAAATGCTGCATTCACGTTCAACTTCAACCATGATCTTATATAGTATATAGGTAAGCTGCTATGCAGTAAAAGGAGAAATGAGAAAGATCGATGGTTAGAGGAAGGAGCCAGTTGCTCTCACAATAAAAGGCTAATTGGAAATGTGGTGCTAGAGTTACTAAGAGGTTTCTAAATCTCATATAATAAATCAGGTTACAATAAATGAGGTGATATTGAGTATATCACTTGAAATAAGGATGCAAAACTGAGATAGTGGGCTTCACTTAATTCATTAATCACAGTTTGTCATATAATTCAGCAAACAACTGGTAGTGAAACATCTTCGTACTAAACAGAGATAGTGGGCTTCACTTAATTCACTAATCACAGTTCGTCAGATAATTCAGCAAACAACTGGTAGTGAAATGTCTTCGTACTAATAGCATTTCTACTGCCTCAAACAATGGAGCATAATCAACATGTCCACGTATAAATGCAGTGCAAAATAGGTGACAGGAAATTGGGTTGTGAAATGCTAAATGCAGGGTCCCGCATAGTGAATCATATGTCATATTGAATGCATATGCATTGCCAATCTTCATTATATGCATTGGATTTGAACAGCAACTGCTTTACCTATACTGTAGTAATTGTAAAACACTCCTCCAAAGCAACTGGATTTCTCGGGCAATTGCCCTTCATATTCCAAACCCTGGAGCATCAGAAAAATCAAGGCCATGAGAAACAGAGATTTTGCTGAAAGGTCAATAGCCAGAACAAACATAACCCTGGCTAACAACAGAAAGTGCATGCAAAACACATAAAACATCCACATCAGCACAGACAACATATTCCTGTCCAAACAACCAACAATCAAATACTTCTCGGTTCATCTTACAGCGACTGAACATGAAATATAATCAAAAAGGAAAAATCTTCAAGGTTAGTAAAGACGAGATGCAGCATAGTTTCCATGTGAATATAACATTTACAAGTAGTCCAATAAAAGAAAACAAGGCTTATCTCATCTTATTTTCCATTAAGGCGCTACAAAGTTTCTTTCATATATACTCTTTCCTATATCTTATCTTTTTATGAGACCCAGAAACTCATGAAAACATTCTCATTTTCACTTCACTCATTTCACAAACATGTTTGTATATAACAGTCCAACACTCATTTCATACAGTATTTCAACCTTATGTCAGTTTTACAGACGAAAGCTTGTGCATAATGTTGACAAATTGCATAAGGAACAAGACCAAATGTGTGCTACCTACATGCCGTGCTTTTAAAGTAAAATTACAAATGTTATACAACTTTGGTCATACGAAACATTATGACTACAAAGAGCGAGAAAATATCAACATACCACATTTTCAAGATCTGACCATAAATCACTTTCCATTCTTAACAGGTCATATATTACCCTTTCTATTAATAAAGTTGTCAAGCTTGACCATGAATCCAGTGTTTAAACATTTAAAACAGGAAACCACCATATTGTTCTAGAGCTCTTGCACAATACGGTACAAGGAGGAGACACCTCACCAATTTATTCCAAGTGAAAGCATAACAATGCTACTTGCATATCATGCATGAACTCAAAAAAGAGAATGAGTTCCTCCACTGTACTGTTAAAGCACTTCCAAGGAAACATAATGTCGCAGATCAGTGAACCTTAAAAAAGTAAATGCCCATCACATAGTTTTGTTGCTGAGTATGCCCTATCATCCATCAAAAGTTCACATTTAATTGAGCTATATGATCGTAATAAGAGCTAACAAACCTCATCAAGAGCACAATCTTCAGTGGGCTTTAGAGAATGAGGTAATTTAATTTCTTCATCCATCGGCGTAGACATCACAACATGCCAACTGCATTGTAAAATGAGCGTTTCAGTGATAAATGATTGTTCAATGAGAGAATAACGATCAAATACTCATAAAAATACATGAAGTATTACTAGTGACAGACTGAAGAATATAGCAGACAAAAAAGGTTGTGAAAATGCTTCAGCCTATTCTCATGGGATACGTGATATAACCACCAAAAATATTTTAACATTAGCAAATAATACTAAAGAAGTTACGATCCCTCCACTAGGCAACAATTTCAAAGAGACAAACAGTGATGCCAAGGCACTTGTTTGAAATGCCACACATGGGATTCTGGCCCAAAGAGTACAGGCCCCAACAATAGGAAGACAGCCCTATATGCTAGGCTTTGCATCTTTTCTCTCAACCTCTAATACAATTACCCCTCAACAAATATCACATCGACTTATTAATTTTGTACATTGACACATATTATTACTAATGAACCTTTCTAGAAGTACTTTCCTGCTCTCAGTTTCACAATATATCCATCCTCAGACACTCCCCATCCTAATCCCAGTATATTTCTTCTGCTCCCACCAAGTTGTCCAAATCCATTAAAACCTCAGCTGAGATGGAATCATATTAGTCTTCCTACTCAACCCACACTAGTGGGACTGGGGGAAATTTTAGAGCAGAAGCTGAAATGTTCATGCACTTGGATTTTATCAACAACGGAACGTGGCATGGTGCAACAATTGTCATTTTCTTTGGATGAGTAAGAAAGTATATTAAAAAGCACCAACGGCATGCCTGCCATTTGCAATTAGTCATCGAAGTGCAACAAATAACGTTAAAAGCTCTCAACCAGTCATTGTCTTCTACTGTGCAACTCTAAGGACAGCATAAACCTGATCATTGCTAATGAGTATTGCCATTCTGCTAGATATGAAGTTTGGTTGACGAAAGTGTATGCCATCAATCGACGATTAAGAAAGATATCATACCTATCTAGACGACACAGTTGACCGGTACTTGCTCTGTCAAGAGTCCTTTTGACAGCAGATTTCCAGGCAAAGGGGAACGAACCACCCTAAACTCAAAATTACACCACAATGAATCGAGAGATAGAATTGGAGAATTGAAAACACGACAAAGAGAAGCAGCGTACCCAGCCAAAACTCCTAGCTAGGTCATTCCCCGTACCAAGAGGAATGATTCCCACTGGAGGGACTGGTTCTCGGTGCAGCCCGTAAAGTTCTCCAAGACATCCTAATACCCAACCAACGGTTCCATCTCCACCTGCAACCTGCCCAACAATCAGAAAGGTCTCCATAAAGTATCAATGTAGAAGTTTTAATCCACATCTGTACACACATCCGTGCAACTCTATTAATTGACTTGATTGGCTAGTCGAACATACCACAACTCTTACTTTCTCCCGGATCTCCTTGGCACATTGATCACCGAGACTAGCCAACTTTTCCAGGCAACCCAACCCATATAAAACAAACTCATGAGGCTTAACGTCTTGTATATCAAAAACCTGCAACATAGATGACCTTAGAATCAAAGGAGTGTATTCTTAACATGAAGAGTGCGACGTGAAGTTCATACAATACAAATACATTAGGATATAGAAGCATGACAAACAGTGGCAAAAAAACCCGCTCGATTATAATTTTTCAACAATGTAATCATAAGATTTTTCGATCTTGGTAAAGAAACCCCTGTAGTCGAATGTAGCTCCAAAGCTTTTGCGAAACTCAAAATGACCCTTTTAACATACTATATATAATTTAAAAAGGGTGCATGTGGTACTGAAAGATATAAATATCCAAAATATTGCATGTCATACTTTTAGAGAAAAAATTGTATCTGTGAACACATCTGTCAAAAAATATTTATGAGTCGCTGCAATAATTCAAGTTGTGCGCAACTATAGTCGACATAGAATGGCTCAAATCGCTCTCTCTCTCTCATTTTTTGAAAGTTTTTGTTTATGCCGCAACTCAAAGAGAAATTCTGTTCCTTACCTTACCAAAAAAAAAAAAAAAAAAAAAGAGAAATTCTGTACTAAAAAAATAAACACAAACCAACAGACGTCCGCCCCTTGAAAATTTGAGAGACCCAACAACTTCATGTCTTATTTTTAAGCTCCAATTCAACAAAAGAATAACAGACATTCACTATCCGCAGTCACTCCAATGAAGCAATCATAAACGGCGTATAAAAGATGCATCCTATCCCAATTGAAAAGTAAAGAGCCCCTTGAAAATTTGAGAGACCCAACAACTTCATGTCTTATTTTCAAGCTCCAATTCAACAAAAGAATAACAGACATTCACTATCCGCAGTCACTCCAATGAAGCAATCATAAACGGCGTATAAAAGATGCATCCTATCCCAATTGAAAAGTAAAGAGCCCCTTGAAAATTTGAGAGACCCAACATCTTCATGTCTTATTTTCAAGCTCCAATTCAACAAAAGAATAACAGACATTCACTATCCGCAGTCACTCCGATGAAGCAATTCATAAACTGCGTATAAAAGATGCATCCTTTCTCAATTGAAAAGAAAAGAGAAAATCAGAAGGGCTTTTACAATATCCAAAACAGTGGAGCTTTAAATTTTATGCAGCGATAAGGAACCAGATTGAGAACAGATCAAGATAGAAATAGAAAAGATGCGAACCCAAGCTAGCAAAGGCATTTCCAGCACGAAAGCGGCCATCATCGTTTCCCAAATTATGGCCTTTCTCATCTTAAGACAGCTCAACAATGCCCAAAATCCTTGAAGTGTCCCAAATAACAGATGCCCAACACACCAACACATGATTGCACTCAATCGAGCAGTCGAGAGCATGGCAACGAACCCAGACTAGGCTTCCAAATCATCCAACGAATTTCAAGAAAGCAGACCCCTTTTTACAGCTACTACCATATGACGCCAGAGCATGAGCTCAGACATACGCACAGAGATAAATTGGGTGATGAAATTCAACTAAACATCAACTATCCTACCAACTGCCACATCATCCGCACCTGTTCTTCAGCGATCAGCTGGTGAAGCCGTTGCTTGAGCTCAGGCCCGTGCCTCCCGCCGCTGCGGGAGTTGATGAAGACAACCATGGGAGCCTCCGGGTGCTCGGCATTCTCGTCCGCGGGCTGGTTCTCATCGACGCTGTTCGGGTCCTTGAACCGGATCGAGTTCCGGATAGCGATGCGGAGGTACTTGGGCATGATCAGCCTCCGCCGCAGCTCCTCCTTGTCGATCTGCATCCCCGTCAGCCCGCAGCTCCGGAACGAGTCGATCACCGACGACCTCGCCGCCGCCACCCGCACCCCTTCCTCCGGCGACGCAGGGGAACCCATCAACGCCCGATAAGAGAGAAACCCAGAAACCTCCCCCCCCCCCCCCCCTCTAGGATTCGATCAAGCAGCTGAGAAGGGGGAAGACTACACTCGCCCGGCGAAGTGGAAAGCGAAGGGCCGAGGGACGACGATGTTCATAAAAATCCCAACTTGGAATCACGAGCAATCACGACACCCGCCCGCGCTTTTAACGGGATAAAAGATGGGGATCGAAGGTACGATCGCGCCTGTGCGCCATACGCATCCGCATAGATTCGCCTAGAGAGAGAAAGCGAGAGGCTTATGGAGAGAGAAAGCGCGGAACAACGAGGAAGAGAACGGCGAATGACGATCTTCCACGACCGGCAGGACAAGATCCCCCGCCGTGGTTTTCTTTAGTTTTTGTAACTGTTGGGTTGTGTCGGGACGCCTCCCACGTTCAAAAAAAGCCCGCGCCTTTTCGGTTTATTTACATGTTTTTGCCATCTTCGAGAAGGTTTAGGTTCGGCCCCGATTTGGCAACGAACTGTACGAGGTAATGATTTTTTAAAAATAATAATAATAATTCGTTTTATTTAGGTTGATAATTGTCGAACCTAATCGGTAATCGAGGTAAAGAGTCACGGGGAGCGTCGCGGGATCGAGGCGGGCCGGAAACAATAAGAGCCGGCGTGGGAGGGACAATGATGGGGCAGGCCGGGCTAGCGACCTGAGACGCGATTATGGCAGGTCGATAGGTTTTGGCGGTTTTTCTTTATCTAAATTTGTGATTCGGTGGTGGGGTTCCTATTTGGGAAACTAATTGGGTTTCTGATGTTTAGTTAGAAAATTTGGGATGAGGCCCGGAAAAATGCTAAAGGGTTTTTTTTGCCTTAATCTAAGACTTAGGTCCCCGGAATTTTGTTCATAAATTATTGGCGTGGCATTCCAATTAAATGCAATGAATATTGAGATCCTCACAACTTCCATCTACTTTTCCCAAACTTTCCATCATTAAAAAAAGGGGCGGTTGGTAGAGATTAGAATGATACGGTCCCTCTGCGCATCTGGAAGTAGAAGGCAATCAATATGCAATGAAGGACCTCCGCCGGCCCCTCCCGGCATCTATGGCAGTGGCCACCGATGAGGGCTTGGCGCACAGCCGTTGAGTTGAGTTTGGATTTTTTTTTTTAATTTTTTTTATTTTTATTCCAATTCTGTTTGTTTTTTGTTTTTGAATATTTTCTGGCGTGGCGCTTGGTGGGCGCCACGCCATCGTCGCGTGTCTTAAGAAAATAACAAAATAAGACAAGCCAACAATTTCCGTCAGCCTAATCGAACGGAATTAACAAAAGGATTCGATTGGACCAGCTTGATAAATTTCGGGACTTGATTACACTTTACGGAAGTTTCAGGATTCAATTGCGTCGACTTCCCCGCAATTTTTTTCTGAAAAAATAAATTGTCAAGGACCGTCTTTCCATACTTGTGTGGCTGATATTCTTCACAAGGGCAAAACAAGTAAAAATGGTCAGTCCAATCGGCGTCCCGTGTAAAATACGGCATGGAAAAGTAGGACACCCGGGGTCCCACGCGGGGTTTTGCTTGACCGTTGATCTTCTAGAAGTGGTCCATTTCGGCATCCTTTCTCTCTCTCCCTCTCTCTCTCCCTAAGCTTTTGCCCCCTTCCTTCAAAGCCTTTGGAAGCTTCTCCCGATCGTCTGCGGCCAAAAGCTACTTCCTGGTCATTTGCATATATCCTTAGCTTCCGCTGCGGGGTCGATCGATGCGTATATCCCAAACCCACGTCGATCAAAATGCATACACCCTTTTCTGTATTAAGAAACGGTGTTCGCGCGCGTCTCGATTATACACGGCAGCGCGCCTGATGAGAGAACCTTTTTCTCTCTCGATCAAGACATTGAGGGGGCTAAAACGATCGAACGGTACGAGCAAAAGAACTCTTTCGTTAACCGAACGTGAGTAAAGTGCCCTTTTTTGCCAGAGCTTTGCTTCGTCGTGTCTTTGGAGTGAATCGGCAGCATACGGTGTAAAACTCTTAAAGACTCTTGACCTCACCAGGAATTTTGCTGTCGGGGCCACCGCACGTGAAAGAGACAGCCAACGACTACCTAGGTGCAGGCTTCTTTTTATCCGCGAGATGTCTGATTTCAATCCAGCCCACATTCCCCCCTTCGATGGCGGATTTCAACTGGGGACGGCTCCTCTTTTTTCATCTTAAAATGGAAGATGAGGAGAATGAACTAAACACGAGAACAGGATCGGGCCGGCGGAGCTGTCTCGTGGACGGCGAATTGAACGCTGAGTGATTGCTTCTTGCAGTTGTTTGGTAGTAGGTAGATCCCGTAAAATAGGTGGGTCGGTCGGGTCGAAAATAGTCCGATCTAAATTGACCCATTTAATCCGTTTTGACCTATTTTCATGCAATACAAACTAATGACCCGACATAACTAACTCAGCCCAATAAATATGGGTTAACAAATTTGTTTACGATCCATTTTGAATAGGTCGGTCTAGTAGTAGGTAAAGGGCGATTCGTCCCTTTTGGCATTCCATTTGCACTCCAGGAAATGGAAATGAAGAATCCTGATATCATAAATCATTGTATGATATGAGGACAAGGTGTATGCAAGTGCCCATCTAGCCAGTGCAACTTCGCTGGGAACATGTGGCTGGCGGGTTTTCCAAATAGATATCCCGAGCAAGTGATAAAACTCATTACATAAGTATTACCCTCCATGTATATTTCGGATAATTTATTTGGCTCTTTTCTTCAGCCTACTGGTTGGTTTGCAGAGTGATCTGTACATTTGAACAGAAGTAGAAAACCTCACTGACAAAATCTAAGGTGAAGTAGCTAATGGAAACATCAAACATAGAGAAAAACAGGAACCCCAAGCTCCGGTATGAAATGAACCCCAATCCAAGCAAACCATCCATTTGGATTACCAAAATCCTGGAGCAACCTAGCCATCCAAGTCATTCTTCGTATTGGTTTTTAATACCCTCACTGTTAGTATCTGGGATGTCTGAGGGAAGTGTGACTTTCTCCACAAAGACATTTCCATCAGAGTAAATTCTATATGAGACATCAAATCTTTCCAAAACAAGGTGATAAACTATATCCTTGGAATGCAGAGGCGCCTTCTCAAGTCCCTCAGAACCATCTTCGTGCAGATCGTCAATGTCCGAAGTTATGTCAGATGCTTTGCCATTAATTTCCTTAACAGGCGACTCATGTGTTCGGTTTCTCTGAGATACTGATCGTATATCCCATGAAAGGACTTCCTTGATCAACTTCTGAAGCTCTTCTGGCGATGCATACATCGAACTCTTTCCCTGAAATGCACATTAGTCAGAAAATATACGGACTAAGAACTAAAAGAAGCCACGCTACTTACAAATGACTCGCAAAAACAATTTTCTGTTATATGACGTGATTACATAATTTGCAACTGCACTTCTAATAGGATATTCTGTTCACCAAAGTAGTCATACATGCTAACATAAGATTGAAAGATCCGTAGTAAAAGAAGCATCGTGACAGAGCAGCAATCATCCCTCGATTAAGAAATTCTAGTATTTACTCATATTTAACATTCACCGGTTGCAAAATTAAACTGCAAATTCATCACCAAAGGTTAGATGAGTATATGAATCATCTAATCTTGCCACAAAATTAGAAAATGTGTGGAAACTAATGAACTATCACGAGATGACACAAAAAAAAAAAAATTAAGACTCTGTCCAATGTAGAAAGAGCACATGAACGAAAGATCTCCATAATGATTAGTCAAATTAGTTTAAGAAAGCTCACCACAACTGCCCAGCAATCAGCTAGCGTTGAAGAGAAATGACCGGAGAAGTTCACGGAAGCAACTGCTAGTGAACTGTCAACCTGAGCAAATTAGGCACATGTGAGATCTTAAGAAATGTGTCTTTCATAGAGAAGACTCTTAATACATATGAAGGCCCTTGTTTTCTTCATGGTTATATTACCCATAAAGGGAATGGGTAACCAAAGATCAGGAGTAACTGCACCGCGAACTACAAATACCTTATTAAGGCAAGGAATAAATAATTAGGAGTCCCAAGTCTGATGGTGCCTAAGATGCTTAAAAATCACACAATAGACATCATCATACTCGAGCATAATATTTTACTGGTCGGCATGAAAAAGATACTGTGACATCCTTCATGCGTAAGGTTTAGTATCCACTCAACCCCTGAAAGAGAATCACAAACAAAAAACAATAGAGAACTGAGTTCTCACCATTACCCAGGACGGCACTCTTGCTCTTGGGAGGCTGTCGCAGTACGAGAGATAAGGTTTGATATCCAGAACTGGCTGTCCAACATAAACAAAATCATAAATATGTTAATGTTAAACAACTTATATTTGGTGAAAGGAAAGTACAGACATATGCGCTACATCTAGTAAGTGTATTGCTCAAGTGGTAACCTGTTATTGCTTCATAATCATCTGAATCACAATGTTAAAGGGAGCTGATACCATGCTTTGGCCACAAAAACTCAAAATCCAGTAACTCAGGTAGTAAATTACTATTAGGACCGCAACAGTGGAAGCTTGATACCTTTCGCCCGGGGAGATCACCAAAAGGGAGCCTAAGTCCAAGCCTGTTAATATATCCAGTTGGACCCAACTTCACTCAAAAGCTTAAGCCAATGAGGTATGAGCCAAGTAAGATATTAACTACTTTACACCACACCGATTATCCGATGTGGGATTTCTCTAAAATAACTCACATGTGCATCCTAACAATTACTAAAGATATACTAAATTCTTTGCACATTCTTAACCAATTAGCTTTCTAATGCCATGGAGCTAGCCTGAGTAGTCAATGAAAGCTAATCAATTATAGATGGCCAAACATTACTATGATGCAAAAGCAAATGGCAACATAAACTCTAGGAACTTTAGACCATGAAGAATGTAAGTGTGTAATCCAACGATGGCCACTCGTAAGATTCTGTGCATAAGGACAGTTTGAGTATCATAGGTCAATCAGAAAAAATATTTATCTAACGTCGAAGTAGATCATGAGAAAAGAGAACTCACCGTTCCATCAACCAAATCTACGCCTGAGAGTGAAACCGTGTTTCCTTTGATAGCCTCCACCTACGTTATACAAAGGAAGTATTGCTAAGTGTCCATTATAATTCTTGTATTTTCGTAATACAGTAGAGTAAATTGCAAGTAGAAACCAGAAAAACACACAATGTGAGGAAATCTGCTCAGTAGACAGCGATCTGTTGAGAAGTGTCTTATTATTATATGAGTCATTTTATCACATACTCCCATAGAGAAGAGTTCGTATAATCTAGGAAAGAAACATTCAAAAAGTCCAAAAAAGAAGACACAATGTTCTCACATAATGCTGTTTACCTTTGCAACAGTTAGCCCTATAGGGCAAGGTCGATGTGGAGACCTTGTAGCAAAGACTCCAACCTTTTCGCCTTTCAGTCTTGGCACCCTGACCTGTCCATCTATTGATCTTCTTAAACAAGTATGACAAATACAAAGTTACTTGGAGCTTTCCTGGTCACAGTTTTATCACAATGGGCCACGAACCTTTGCCTTGAACTTTGATCTAGATGTCTCCTTCCACAACTTCTCTAAATCCGTATTGAGATGGAAAACATATATAATCCAGCAATGAGAATATCCTTCAAGGCCCTCAAGTGATGCTGGAGGGACTCGAGATACATCAAATAGCAAACATGCTCTTGCGAGGGGCACAATTAAAGGCTGCCTCGGCGTGCCATTCCTACATCGCGAGATACAACAACTCATGGCTCATCCCACAAACAGCTTGCACATAAAAAGCTAATTAACCACACAGAGCTGCTAATTGGATGGGCTTGCCTTTTTAACAGTGATGGGTGAACAAGAAATCTAATTTTCAGAAGTTCCAGTGACTGGACTAAAAAAATTGCATCTCTCTCTCTCTCTCTCTCTCATCGTATATGATGGCTAACCGGTGCAATTCTCTCTCTCTCATTGTATATGATGGCTAACCGATGCAATGACACTGCCAAATCCGTATTGAGATGGAAAACATATATAATCCAGCAATGAGAATATCCTTCAAGGCCCTCAAGTGATACTGGAGGGACTCGAGATGCATCAAATAGCAAGCATGCTCTCTCTCATTGTATATGACGGCTCCCCGATGCAGTGACACTGCCAGAAACTTTTTCTTTAGTTTCAAGAGACTTCACAAACCTTTCCATGTGAACATTCAGATCTCATTTCATGTATGCCAACTATGATTCTCCAAACTAGTTCTTTCGCCATCTCTACCCAATCATTCAAGTCGAAAAACTTGTGAAATCTCCAATACCAAGATACCATGTCATCATAGTCACAATAAGCTATGGCCAAGGCTATGAACCACCAAAAAAAAGTTCATTATGGCAAAAGAGAGATTGGCAAATTGCATACCTGGTAGAAAAGCATGACTTGACAATGCCAATAGGCCTCATTGGATAAGAAGTAACCTCAGAATTTTCCAGCTGAGGTTGTGCTATAGCTTTCCTTAAAGCCTAGAGTCAACACATTGCACAGAAAATGAAAGGGCCCGTTAGTTTTCACTTTCCGTAAGCAACCGAGTTACTGAAAATTAAAAATAATAATTCTCAATTTAAAAATTATGAAAACAATTTACAACACGAATAATATGGCCTTAAATGTCCACGTGCATAGGTTTTTAGAAAATTTTCGATGCTAAGTGAATGTCAAATTGCAAACACTGAAAACTGAAAAATTGCAGACAAATTATCAATGATAACAGGGAGAAGGAACAACACTATACTGAATAACTAACCATTCTAAAGATAAATGCGAATCGGATGAACGCATAAATTTACAAACTTCAAACAACAATGATCAAACAATTGTACTCAAGATGCATCCTTTATCACTACTTCCACTGTCCTTCCTACTAACTTCGCTCTATCTCCCTCCATCATGTTTGTCTTTCCCATTCTCATCCTAATCTCGCTTTCCGAATAGCAAAAGGCGTTTTGCGCAATTTGCATATGCAAATGCAAAATGCACGCAATCGGTGAGTTCACTGATCGGAGTTGATTCAAACATAAACGCGAATATCGTGTTCAGCGACTCGGCGCGGCCTAAAGCCCCGAAGCTAATCGCCCAAGCCTCTATCACCGTCTCCCCTAAGCAGAATATTGCAGAAGTTGCGTGAAAACAACAACAAACGGACTCGAACCTGCTGAGCCCTGATGCGGCCTTGCCTCTCGGCGGCGCACTTTTCCGACGACGACTTGAGCGACGCTTCGAGCTCTCTGATCCTCGATTCCAGCTCTCTCGACCTCCTCCTCCTCCACAAGCACACTGCGACAACACCGATCAAGCGCACGGATGAGCCGAAAAAGCGACGAAAAGAGCGCGAAATGCGCGGTCGGAGTGGAGCTCGGGGAAGCACCGGAGACGGCGGCGAGCGCCAGGGAAACCGCGACTGCGAAGCCGAACTTTGAATTTCCGCTCGGATCGGAAGCCATGGAAGACGGAAATCGCTCGCCGGAGAGTTTGGGCGCTCCGGCGGACGTAATTCCCGTGGATATATTCTTACACGATAAGCCCATCAGAGGCCCCATGGGCCATGTTCACGGCCCAACTATAAAACTTGAAATGCGAGAACGAAAGTTCCACTATTGTATCCCCCCATCTTGACTCTAAATCTAATATCACGATCAAGCAAGGGAATTTTTTTAATTTTGACCGAGAAAAAATAAGGATATCTTTACAGTTTTCAATGCACCGTTTTTCCCACGTCCGATATTTGAAATCCGACGTGTATGCGGTTGAAATTATTTGTATAAATTGATTAGCTTGAATAGGTACACGATGTCGACATTAACGGTTGATATGAGACCCGTCAAATGAGTGAGCCGGGTTGAAAATGGTCCGACTCAAATTGGCCTATTTAACCCGTTTTGATCCATTTTCCTGGAATACAAAAATCTAATAATTCGTACCCAACCTGACCCATACCCAATCCATACCCGACACTGATTCATATTGCTGAAACACCTTCATATTTAGCCTCATACAAAAACTGAGGTGCAAGCGCATAGCGAATGAGGGTGAGATCGAGTGAGGAGAGAAAGAGTCATAGAGGTGGGTTAGGTCTAAGTAAATTGTGAACCCATTTAATATCCATATTATTTTGAGATTTACAATTCTAAACCCATTTATGACCTATTTATTGAATATAACTTACTCATATAACAACTCAGCCTATCAAATATGGGTGAAGAAATTTGTCTATAACCCATTTTGATATGTCTTTGGGCAAACCGTCTGTGTAAAATATTTTTGTACACAAATAGGCATAAAATGGGCAACTCTCGTCTACTGATAGAATGGACCCATTCTCCAAAACTTAAAATGATAAGTCTCGGTCACGAATCCGATTTATGAAATGATTTTATGCGTGGCCGGTAAAGAGGCCTAAATCAATCTTTGCTTCTAGCAATGATTTCATTTTCCACGTGCTTTTAACTCTCACCCACTTTATTTTTCTATGTGCTTTCAACATCTATGTGGTTGCCGAATGCCTTTAAGGCTCGACCCTATACGATTGCCTTAAGAAGCATAGTCAATGTAGTAGAGTCCTTCAGCGCTCGGTTACAGCAGATGGAGAGTGGATTTTGTAACTTGCTAAGAGCCCTACACCCCCCCAAACATCCTCAAAAGAATGGTGTGTTTGAATGTGCTTTTCATCCTCGATTAATTGCATATTGCATCCCATGCTAATGTCAACATGAGGGGAGCAGAACTATCGAGCATTAGTATCAGATAACATATGGATCTTGTCAACAAATGTGTCGGGAATGTCATTGATAAGAACTTAAAGATATAAAAGAAACGATTTCAATGCACATTAAAAAACATAGCATATTGAAAAAACATTTAATGTCTTGGTTGATTGTTCGCTCAAGTGACCATCACCGATGGGGTCTTCTTGGACACACCGCCATAAATAACACCCACGAAATGGCGGTTGTCATTAAATGACCTTCAAAGTAGATTTAAAAATTTATCTATCTAATTCTTTTCCATTTCTTATTACTCAGGGTACCAGTGTAAAGGCTCGGAAAACATCCTACAAACTCCATAAACCGATTAAGTTTAGACATTTGTCCTATAGAGATAATCCTATCCTAGAATAAATTACGCATAGTGAGTGTGATTTTAAAAGTTAGTGACCTCCAGCTCGGAAACTGATAATCCTCTTGACCGACCATTTATTCAATGTTTATATCTTTTACATACCCAATCTTTGTATCCTAACAATAAAACCCATCACAGAAAACAGGCAACACAACATGTATATAGGTATATATAGTACAATTTGTCATTCCCGTTGTCACATACACAGAGGCTTTCAAAGCAGTGTCGTGCATGCAGCATGCATACGCATGTCGAATAGGATGATGGGTCGAATACAACAAGAGCTCGGCGCCAATCCCGCAAGGTGTTTGCTGCAATGCCAATTGATTTCTACTTTTCGCATTTAATGGAGGTGGTGGTGCAGGTGCTTTCGCTCTGCTTTCTCACCTGCGCGTCTCTGGAGACTCGACAGTGCGCGTTCATGTGGGGGGGAGGGGAAGAAAGAGGGAAAAAAGGGGCAACGCCGAGTTGAATTCCCACTGCAAAAAGATTCTGAAAACAAGGAGACAAGCCCAAGGAAAAAAGAAAAGCAAGCAAATGTCATGGCTTTTTTTGTACGGTACCTTTGCTCAAATTGCACCCCTCGTATCCCTTCACCAGAAAAAGAAAATATCAATTGGACAATCGAATAAAAAATCAAATTATATGAGGATACTAAACGAACAAGATCTATCTATATTTTTTTTTATGAGTTAACTTAATATCATCAATCATATTTAGGTGAACCGAATGACTGGTGCACGCTTGTTAAAACTAGTCGAATCGAGGTTTAAGTTTTGAAAGAGGCTTTCTAGAAGCAAAGTATATGACCTTGTTATAACATTGAAGCATTATATATATAATATATGTTGTTGCCAGGGAACAAAGACATGTTTATCTGCCAATATTTTCACAATGAAGAGGCCTTTCTTCTCCTTTCTTTTTCAGGGTCGTCAATCATCATCATTGCAAAAGGAAAGGCTTTTTACAGTGAACTGTTTGCAGATTCTCTCCCCCTCTCTCTCTTTCTCTCTCTCTCTCTCAAATTCAATCTATGTTGTTGTGGGTGGGGTGGGCTTTAAAAAGGTGGGTTCAAAGCTGTTATTCTTGACCTATGTGCCCTGCTTTTCATTTCCTCCTGACAACTAAAGTTTCCTGGGTCGGTCAGCTTTTTGTCACCCCTTCACAGTCCCATCTCCGTTGCCTTCTCTCTCTCTCTCTCTTCACATTGTCTTTTTTCAACCCCTTTCTCGAAAGGCTTCTTCCAAGCAAAATTGAAAATCACTTCTGCTGATAAAAAGAGGGAACTGCTATCGCTTTTCGTGCTAAATTCTGCTCACTTTCAAACCCTCGCGGACTACGCAAAACGCGTAGATTTTCATTCCACTCGCATCGGTCAGCTAACACTGTCGAGCTTTATATTTTTACACTTCCTTTGGACTTTTGTTCTTCTCTTTTCTTCCGTTTCTGCAGATGCTGCGAAGTCAAGGAACGAGAGTACAAAGGGGAGGTCACTTCAAATTGTGAAAAAGATCGAACGAGAGTGCTCCTTACCAGAATTGATGGCGACCAACGTGTTGACTCGTCGGTCAATGTTTTGAACTGGAAATGAAGTGAGATGAAATGGGAAAGCTTTGAAAAACTTTGTCCGGCAGTGTGTCCTTTTTTTCTCTCCTTCTGATTTTCAGGGCCAGAAAGAGAAAATCTAAGGAAGAGTTTTTGGTGGTATTAATTCAGATAAACGTGTTGAATTTCGATCCTCTCTCCAATGGATGGCAATATGGTGGACTTTGGGGAGTGAGGGTTGCATTAACTTTGGGAATTTTCTCACATTCGATCTATGTTCTATGCTTAGACAAGTTTGTATGCTCGATCCGTTGCTTCTGTGAGGCATCTTATTCATTTGGTCCTAAACCTAATTTTTAACAAGAACACATGGTTGCTAAATAATAATCTAGTAAAAATTTGAAGGGGTAAAATTTATTTAGTATATGAATCATAACGAACGTAGCCGGTAAGGGTTTTAAGGGAGAGCGAGCTGGGTATCGTCGTCCTACTTGCCGATGAGCTACGCAAATCGAGCACAAGTTGTGACTTTTAGGTACTACTAATGATCGACTGAAGCAAATATATATTCGTAAAGGTTAATATCCAGTATTGACCCAAATTACAAAAAGATTTAACATATATATGTGTGTCATAAGTAAAACGGATTCAAAGGTGATATTCCAACTTCAACTTTTTGTGAAGAATTCCATGAATCAATGTCTATCACGGCAGTCGAAAAGTCTTTTTCTCTCCCTCTCTCTTCTCTCTCTATTGTCTTCTTCGACTTTCAGCCATGGAGGAGGGTTTGAGCTAGTTTCACCCTCCCCTCCTCTCTTTTGTTGATTTTGTTTGAGTTTTCTTGTTCTTTTCTATTTTTTCTTATCTCCCGATCTAGATTTGTGAGCTCTCTTCTCCCGATTTAATTCTAGATATGAAAGTTTGAACTCTCCCGATTTGGTTCTAAATCTAGAAACTATCATATTTCAATTTAGATGTGGGAGTTTAATAACATTTTCGGGGATTCAATACTCCTATGCTCTATCCTTGTATAAGTCCTCTACCTCTAGTTTCAGTGGTAATCGTATAAGCTCTGTCGTCTCGCTGAATTATGAAGATTTACTTTTTCAAATGTTAAATATGTGTTTGTTCAACCTATTTTGGTTATGTTCATATGGCGATGGTGTTAAGGAAGTTGAAACTAAGCGCACTCCGCTAACTAGTAACGCCGTAATTACTGGAGAAGGAATTTTTGGCGTGTGCTCATCATTGAAGATGATATGATATCCAAAGATCGGCTGTCGAATATGTTGCTTGACAGATCCGTTCTTATGGAAGGAGTGTGTACTTAACCTCGCTAGAGCTCTGTTGATCCTTCTTATTTTCTTGATTTGGCTTTTTTTGTAGTATTATGAGTTTTGCTCTGTTTTGATTTGCTTTGCTGTAGAAGTTTATGTACTTCTCATGTATCATTCTAAATAATTAATACAATTTTCTTTACCCACTTGCGCATGGCCGAGTTGGTGGGCGCTTTCCTTCCCTCGGAGAGGTTACGGGTTCGAATCCCCGCTCGGTTCAGTAATTTAAGTGGGGTGCCACAGCGGTGGGTTCTTTGGGCTAGTCTCCCCGAGGTATAGGTGCCCCGATTACCTGTGCGGGCTCGTCCCCGGGGAATGGTGACGGATCCTCGATTACCAAAAAAAAAAAAAAAAGAAATTGTCTATCACAAGCTACTCCATATAGGAAAAATCCATAGATGGAATGATGACCATGATTCAGTCTCAACAAAATGTGTCGGAAGCCTTGTAAAAGGATGTGCTTCCATATGCTCTCTCAACACCTATAAAGGGTATTAAGA